CATTTCTGCCTCTGTCTCTCTCTTCCTCTCTCCTCCCTCCCCACTTACCTGCGCTCACCGTAATTGCCTCTAAAAACTGCTCCCTCCACGAATGGGTCCCGATCACCAAAGCCAAATTTGTTTTCTTGATGAGTTTGTCCACTGTGTTCTGGGGAGGGAAGAGGGTGGGAAGAGGTCATTGCCCATGATCACCCCAGGGTGCCCCTGAGGCTCCATGAGGGGAACTGGAGTTGGGGACTCACAATCCATGCTCAGGGGTCCCCAAACTTCCATACCCCCGTGCTACCGGCAAAGAGGGAAAAGGTGTGTGCTGTCCATGGTGCTAACGGAGGGCCTCCAAGGATGGCCTCGCGCGCTTGGTCGCCCCTCCCTGTGACTCTCAGAGTTGATTCCCTCCCGGACTCTCCCCAAGGAAATGACTCAGGCAAGACTCTGGGAAGCCGGGGCTCCAGAAAATCACCTTAAAATCATACGACTCCTCGATGATGACCTCCAGCCGGCAGTTTTCCCCAAGAACTGGCTTGCCCATCTCTGCTATCCGTCGAGCCTCCTCCTCCTCAGCCGTCAACTTCCTGTCCCCATCCCCTGCAGCACGAGGGGTGGGAATTAGACTCCAGGGAGGCCTTCTCCATTGGGCCTGCGATGCTTTCACTACCTGTTTGTTGTCTCTGGGATCTTCCTTGGTGACAGCCCCCCAGCCCACCTCGGCCTCCTATATGACCACCATCTTTCCCAGCCTGAGCCCCAGCTCCCATGGGCTGGTCCACGAAGTCCAGTTGGTGGGCTCTACGGTTCGTATGGTAGAGGCTGTGTGACCTTGGGCAAGGCCTTAACCTCTCTGTGCCTCAGTCTTCGTATGTATAAAATGGGCACAATAACTGCCTGCCTCGTGGGGCGGCTGTGAGAATTAAAGGCGTGAATTCATGTGAAGTGCTTGGAACAGTGCCTGGCACACGATAAATAGTCATAAATGTCGTTTTCTTTATTATTATCGCTAACATCATCATCATTATCACCACCACCCTGGAGGGAAGAGGCCTGATCTCTACATCCAATCTCTGAAAACACCGTGTAGTGTGTCTGACGTGGTGAGAACAAAGGAGGAGACCCGACTGAGTACAAACCTTGGACCCAGACCCCCTACGCCTGGCCCTGAGCTCCGTCATCCCCCTAAGTATATTGATCTTTTGCTCTAGGCACAGCGTCAGCTCAACCCTGACCGTCAGAAGCAGGCCCCCCCACCAGCCCGGAAAACTTTCAGAAAACTCTGCCCGAGCAGGAGACGACTTTTATCGTGCTGAGCTACTGGGGTTGGAGATGTATGTGTTACAGTGGCTCGGACCTCTTACCCTGACTGTTAGTCCAGCCCTCACCCTCGCCCCAAACCCCCATTCTACTCTCACCGTCTCCAAGCCACTGACTCTAGCCCCAACTTACCCCAGTCTCTGACCGTGGCCTCAATTCTAATCACAAACCCAGAAATCAACCTCCATCTTAATTCTAACCATGACCCAGTCCTGTCCCTGATCTTGAACCCTAACCCCACCCTGGTCCTAATCAACCACAAACCTCACTCCCTCTGGCTCCGCCACCAATGCTGATCGGATTCTATGACTTACTTCCTCCCGGGACCTTAACTGCAAACGAAACATGATCTTGGTCTCCAAGCCCCTACCTAGCTGTAACCCCACACTCCGCTGGCTCCGCCAACTCTAAGGCCACCTCCAACCCTCGCCCAGCCCTGAATCTACCTTCGTCTTACCTCCAACCTGCCTCACACCTGACCTGGAAGCGTAGCTTGAGTCCATGACCCTCCTTTGACACCTCTCCTCCAGTGTCCCCCTCTCTAGGCAAAGCCAGATAGTGACGCCACTCACCTTGATTAAGCAGCAGAGCTGGGGAGAGACAGACAGACAGAAAGTGAGATCACTTTTCTGAGAAGCTTGGATCCATTACTTTGAAGAAGCGCCCACAGTTGAGCCCCCAAGGATCCCCCTGTCCTGGACCCTGCACCTCTCCCATGGACCCCCTATTCCCCCTCACCTGAAATCCCTCGCTTAAGCCACTGCGGCTGGCCCAGCTCGATGAAGAAATTATCCTTTTTCTCATATTCCTCGTCATCGACTATCTTCACTTGCAGAGTTTTCCTGAGTGGGGGGAGGCGGGACACCCAGTGTAAGGCCCCTCCCCGAATGGCCGGCTAACTCGCCCCTCAGCCACCCAGGCTCTGTAATCTCGTTTAATCCTCGCAACCACCCTTGGAGGAAGGCTCACTCATCACCCCTATTTGACAGAAACAAACCCAGAAACAGCTGAAGAAGCTGAGGCTTGTTAAATCGCAACCTGAAGGATTCTGATAAAACCTAAGTTACACTGAGTCTTTCCTCTGCTCGAAACATTCCCCGGGATAAAAGCTGAAACCCTTCGAGCGGCCCACAAGGCCCTCTGCGATCTGGCCCTTGCTTCCTTTCCAGCCTCCGGCCCTTCTCCGATTGGCTCACTTGGTCCAGCTGCACTGGCCACATCCTTGTTCCCTGGTGTGCTTTGCACGGGCTGCTCCTGCCCCCCTAGAATACTTCTCTCAGGCTCGCTCCCTTACTTCCTCTAGTTTCCATCCAAAGTTCACCTTCTTCTCAAAGAGGCCGCTCCCACCACCTTCTTCGTATTGAAATCCATCCCTGGCTCCACTACCACCACCTGGCTCCCTTCCCTGCTCCGTGTCTTTGTTCTAAGACACCGCCCGATGCGTGTATTTAGTTTATTCTTTGCCCTTCGCCTCCTTGCATCACAATGTAAGTTCCACCGAGATAGTGATCTTTGTTCATTTATACTCTCTGCCGTATCCCCAATCCCTAGAACAGTGCCCGACACACAGGGCGCCCTCCATAAACATTTGCTAATTCAGATCCTTCAGCCCAAGAGACCATCGTCTTCCCGTCCCCTGTCCCAGCCACATGAGAGAGTTAACTAGGTGCTAACTGATTTTCTCAGCATCCCCGCTGCTATGGTAACCAGGAGGTGGCAGGGGAGGAACAGCCAGGAGTGATCCCTTCCCTTCAGGCACGCAACCCACCCCAGACCCCTCAATCGCAAAGAACCACAACCCCGGAAAGCCCACAGCTCTGCCACTAGCAGCTCTAAAAGCTGCAGGAACCACAAGGCCCAGCCCCAGAACCCAGAAACACAAACACCCAGCCCACGCACTCACCCAGCAGAGGAAGCACAGCCAATCACACCGCCCACGTCCGCACACCATCGCAACCCCCAGTCATTCCCTA